GATGACTGAAGAAAGCTGTTGAGCCAATGTGGTTTCGCGGAAGCGTCGGTATGGGGTTTGCGTCTGATAAAAAGGGTCTGGAATTTTGCGTCGTGATTAAATGTTAAACATGGGTGCAGAGAAGCTTTACCTTTTACGTTCTCGCCGACACCTCAACATAAAGATCATGGTCACGTGATACTTGGAGCCACTGAATGGTTTTCGATGCTAGACTAGATTAATGACAGTAATCATTGGTTTGCCAGCGGTGGCGACATTAATTTTACATTATCACCAATCGTTAAATATTTTCGTGGGTTGCACCATCCCACAGGCTAGCAATTTAAACTGGAGCACATACAAAACTAGATTGGATGCGGAAGCAAACGCAACATACATATGAGCACTGGGTTGCATTGAACAATGAACAACCCGAGCCGACAAAAACGGATTGGAAGCGTGAACTTGACTTTGCGGAAGACTGCCAGGAAATGTATAAGGTGCCGTGCCATGTTAATGGGTTCTATAAAGCGTAGAAAATTAATGCAGCTTATTGTTGTGTCCCATTAAATAATTGTTGGATTTGGAGACTTCTGATCAAAAGATATTGGCGTGAAAATTTAGCTTAGGAATTCTTTGTTGTGCTGGACAGGAACATGCTGTACATGCACCTCCTGAACTTCTCCCAGTATTTCTTCTAGTTTATTTTATGTCCGGGCAATTACCCATGAAAAGATGGCCAGGACTGCCTCCCCCGTCCAGCTGCGGCAAAAGAAATTTGCATGATCATTAGGACCAGAAGGCCGCGTTACTCCGTGCTAAGAAGTGAGGAAAAAAGCAAAGTACATATAACTGATGGCTGCGATGATGTGAAGCGCCTATATACTGAACAATCTATTACATCAACGCCTGCCTCTCACTCTGGCGAAAGGGATGGGTATCGCGAGAAATCGAGTCCGTTACCTCTGATTTCCCAGACCCGCAACTTAACCACTGCACTATTGGTACACTGTGCTGATTTGATTTTGTAAAGCGGGTTTGATAAAACCTTCCTGGTCAGCCGATACAAAAAACATGGCGTCGATCACCCGGATTGTGCAGGTGATATTACGTTTATAGAATATGCAAAACTATTTTGCTTCCGAGGAAAACTTCGGTGAAAAAGAAAGAGATCACGATCAGAAAAATTGCAAATTGTGTTCCGAATTGTTTGGAAACGGACCAGTTCTCTAAGCGATTTTCCTTGACGCTCGTACGGCACCGAACTTCTGCCCGTATTAGGTGACAGCTCGATTGGCGTGCGCACCGAGCTCGTCCGTCTGTGTGCCCCCCTCCCAGGTGACAGCTCGATTGGCGTGCGCGCCGAGCTCGTCCGTCTGTGAGCCTCCTTCCATGATAGCGATATGACCTCCAGGCCGAGTTCAGCAAGATAACCGGAGGGGATTACTGCCCTCCTAACCGGTGAGATGCGCTCCCAGAGCTGTCCTGGAGACCTTGAGCGCATTACTACCGACCAGAACCTGCCACATTTTTCTTTTAAATTCTTGCGTTTCATAGTCATCATCACTGTGTACACCTAGTTCTCCTTCGTTGTCTTCGATGCTCATCTGCTTGCTACTGCAACGGCCAAAGCATGCGAATTCTCGTTAGCACTTTCTGCAGTCTGTGCGCTAAACGCCTTCGCTGCGGCTGTTGCAGCTGCAGCGTGCAGTGCTGCATGCCTGACTTTCAACGTTGCAGCTGCAGGTCACTACATCCAGGAGCGCTTCGGGAGCAACTGCTGCTGTTGATACAGGCGGTATGGTGGTGGAGACTTCGACGCTCCAACCAAGGTTGACAATATCTCTGGGTTCTCTTCTTCGGGGGTTACGGGGGGGGGGGGGGGGACACGGGAAAGCTTCATCGGGAATGGAACTAGGAGCGTAGTGAGCCAATCGAACGCCCAAACTCTCAGTCGAACCTCATGCGATCCAAGGAACTGGCCAGACGACGTGGTACAGCTGCCGACCGAAGTCAACCAACATCTGGTCTGCTGGTGCTGTGGTCTCGTTGTCCCGAGTGTCACCAGGCGTGCGCGGCCACCAGTAGCTCCTCCCCGGCAAGCTGGGGAAGGTGCTTTATCTGTCTCACATGTTATCTCAATTAGCGAACATAGCCGACCTGCCTCAAAGAAAAAGGGTAGCATTGCCTTCAGAATGTGCGCTATCGTGCTAGAGGCAAGCCCTAGAGGTTTTTTTAACACGCGCCCAGGCGGCCGGCTGGATACCCTTCGCTCAGGTGTGGGGGGGGGGGATCAATTTGACCCCACTGCGATCTCGAGAATTATGAGAGCTAGAGACACCAAATTCACAGGGTATGTTGATCTGTACATGAACCCACTTAGATCAAAGTTTGAGATTTCTAGGTCGTGATCTTCGGGTCAAATAAGGTCAAACGAGGTCAAATTCCAAGTTGGTCTCCAAAGTGCCCCAGAACCTAGATAACTGTTTCTAAGCAAAAGGTCACACGTTCATTTAAAGCCAGTGACTGACATTTTGAAGGTCATGGCGACCAAAATCATACAAGACTGCTCTGAGCTTTGCGTTTGAATAACCGACAAGGGTTACGCTAGGCGGTATGCTCCTAAAACCCAAATACTGGCCTGGGTCATTTTTGGTCAACGACCTATTCTGACCTCTAAGACGTCCATGGAAGATGTAGGACGTGGTTCCTGCTATCAATAAATTCAAAATGAGCACCAAAAACTATTTCATACAGCGAGCCCTAGAGTAATAAATCAGGTTGATTTTGACCTCGGTCTGACTTCCATACCTGACCTTAGGTCAATGGAATTTGCTCATTCAATTGTTGTGTTGTCATATAAAGCTAGAATAGCATGATTTGCGAGCTAAGCTATCCCGTCCTGGCAGAGTTGTGTGCCACGCATGCGTATCGCTTGGTAGCGACAAGTTTCTGAGGGGACACTTAAGTACATCACAATACATGTTAATGTAAACATTCTTAACTCCTTTAATGCATACGTAGCGCATGTAACACATGTTCATATCATCATAATTTATAACAAATGCAGCTGCTGCGAGGTGCACACATACTTTGAGTACGAAAAAACAACAGACGGCATATATCAATGAGTAGAGGGGATTTTGGTGATTCATGATCAAGCTCCGCCTTTGACTTCCGATTTAACCTTAAATTTGGTCAAAACCTTAAAGACAAGTGCAGAAATTGTCTCCCTGCCATCGAAAAATCCCTAAAGCAATACCGAAAAAATCCTCTAACTTGCCGAGATAAAATGCTCGAACTGGATCATCATTTGAGATGGCAGCGGCCACCGTAATGAGTGTTAAGTTGCACAAATAGCAGCTAAACAAATTTGGCTTTCCTAGTTACATAAAACCAGATACATAGAAGATTTCCGACAAAAGCTCACAGTGGTTGACATTACAGGGTTTCAGATACGAAGCATAAGGATGGCGACTGCACGTACACAACCAAGTGGAAAGCATGTTCTATAGTATATGCGTTCTGTATACTGCACACGTTGACATTATCATGGTTTACAACACATGCAGGCTCTGTGAGTGGTACCCTTACGGTGGTATGAGAAGACAGCAAACGACATATATCGCTGAATTCAGGTGATTTTCGTCGTTCGTGATCATCTTTGATCTTGGGCCCTCAATTGGCTCATACGGCTATCATACGGCTATTATACATATTGGCTCATTTGGCCCTCAATAGCCTCAAACTGGCTCTTGAATTTGTCTACATAGTGAAAAATAACTATAGAAATGAACTCCCTGTCATAGAAAACCCCTGAAAACGGTACCACACGACCCTCCGAGTCATCGAGAAAAACGCTGAAACTGGACAAAAATGCAAGATGACAGTGGCTGATATCTTGGGTTCTGAGAAATCCTCCATTCTTCTGACAAATTCTGAAAAATTCTGAAAAATGAGGACGTCAGAATCCCTTCCATCAGCTTGCAGAAAATGCATGTAAATAATACTGGTGTATAGCTACAGGATTTCTTTGAGTCTCTTCCTCTGTAAATAGGCCAGACGAAGGTTTCCTCCCCGTCATCCAGCACAATAATACCGCCATAACTAAATGTTAGAGGAAGCATTTCCTGCTCCGCACGGCTAGTTCGGACGATAATATCATTTCCATCCTCTTTATGAAGTATTCGTTGATAATACTTGCTCAAAACCCTTGCGATTTCTATCCATGCACGCGTGATCATGCCATACTCGTCGAATATTACATTCATGTCATCTTTGTCTTACTTTTTTAGCATATTTTCAAAACTGCTGTTGTCTTTTATTTTTCATGTCAACGAGCCTATTTTTATATTCACGTCCTACCTCCCACAGGCCTGCTTCACATTCGCACGCACCGGCTTCCGTCCCTTACCCGTCTCTGGGGAGCTTTTTGCCTCTTTACCGTCTGTGCGACGCTCGTTGCTTGTTTTCTAGCCTTCTTTCATTCAAATTGTACTATGAGGGGTTTTGTGAGCGTAACGGCTGCTGAGGTCACTCCGCGAATATTGTACCATGACCTTCGTAACTTAAGCAGTTTTTGAGGCACCATTTTTTCAACCGCCGTTATGCTTTCCTTTAAACTTACCAGTTATCGCCTACTCCCCTGCTGGCGAACGCAGCCAGAAACGTGATATAATCTGATAGGCAGTTTTTATCACGCTAGTGCTTGATTTTTAAAATGTCTTTTCCTTCGCTTAGCCTTTGGTCGTTTCAATTTACATTAAATTGTAAAAATCACGGCCTGATGATTACTGATGCCACCGCTCATGCCTGTACCTTTGTGACGATCCTCGAGACAAGTCCGCGCTCGTCCGTCACCAGCGTCGGCGCGCCAGCTGACAGCGGCACCTGGCGACCGCTCCAGTGGCGCCACCTATGCAAAGCGCTGGTGGTCTCCCGCCTCGAAACCCCGCTCAATCGTTTAGCAGGCACCGATCGAACCTCTCAGCTCATCATTTGTAAACACCGCATAAAGCATCAATGGTTCTCATAAATATATTGACCAGAGCTCACAAACCCAACGCAGTGCAGGAGTTCTCCCGACTTAAAGCAACGTTTGCAGGGCCCAAGCGGAGCACACGCGTCGCCCCGCCCACCATCCCCCAACCACTGGTCCAAAAGCGACGTCTCATCCGAACAACACATCATTTTTCCACCGAGGCGAGAACAAATTGGCATTTTTAAAAGGTGCGATCTCCACTGTTTGCAACAGGTGCGCAACAGGTCACCGTGCAACTCCCCAGCAAGCATCATGGCGTGGTCCTGTTCGTATGCTACGACTCTTTGTTTTGAGAGGCGAGAAACTCGTCGTATCTCTTCTGCTGCGCTTGGTAGAGCTTCAGTAGTTTCTTCAGCTGTCCTTTGCTTATTTCCTTCCCGTCCTTGTCATGCGTGGGCATACCCTGACAAAAACACCGAAACCATGTGACGCAAACATTCACACACCCAACACGCTTACATGCTCACAAATCAGCTTCTATTGATATGTTGCTTTTAAGTTCCGCGTGTGTTATGTATGTGCCCCGAGCTCTCTTGTTTACCTCAAGCCCCGCACAACGTAGAAACTGCCGACTTTGTACATCTTAAAACGGCAACAAACATACACTCAACAGTCTAGCACATAATCACCACACGCGGCCGACCTGTGGTTCCTGCGGATTTCACCACGGCGAGACTTATGAAAGGGCCACCCACTGGTGCAGGCAAGCGGCTTGCCACGGCTCTCGGTCGGGCTGGAGGGCACAGCGTCTTTCACGCCGCTAACGGGCAAAACCGGTGCTGCTCCAACCTTGCGGTGTTGAAACCGGTCAGGCAGCACGCAATACAGCGCGGCGGTACCAACCCAACGTCGGATGTGTGGATGCTGGTTTTACCCGTCTGCATGTTGTGCCCACCCCTCCAACTCACTGACGTAGGAGTTCTAGAAAATTATGGTTCACAGCGCAGTCATCACGATTTTACAATGCGCAAGGGACTTGCCAAGCGTCTCTGCCAGTGAAAGGCAACAGGGGTTCTGCCAGAGCAAATATCATCTTTTGTTGTCAACACCGTTGTTCACTAGCTCACTAAGTTTTCCTCTTTGCACTTCTTTACTCCCAATCTTCTTTGATTATAACCTCGTTCCCATTTACAACCGAACCATCTCGCATTGTTTCGCCTTTTTGCCAGCAAGGAAACAGCAAAACTTCCATCTACTGTGCGACTGTACTCACCGCAGAAACGCCGCTCACAGTTTTTGTCTACCGCCTTCCGACCGCGTGTAATGTATTCAATATAAAATTTGTGATATATTTATTGAAGCAGCCAATGACACAAACGTACGCCCATCTGCAAATCATTCACATTCAACGGTAGAACGGAGCTCTACAGGAAACCACATGACTGTCACTCGCTGGACAATTTGTGCTGTGGTCACCACCGTCCGCCCCGTCCCTCTCTCCGGCCGCCACCGTCCACCCCGTCCCTCTCTCCGGCCACCACCGTCCACCCCGTCCCTCTCTCCGGCCGCCACCGTCCACCCTGCCCCTCTCTCCGGCCGCCACCGTCCACCCCGTCCCCCTCTCCGGCCACCACCGTCCACCCCGTCCCTCTCTCCGGCCACCACCGTCCACCCCGTCCCTCTCTCCGGCCACCACCGTCCACCCCGTCCCTCTCTCCGGCCACCACCGTCCACCCCGTCCCTCTCTCCGGCCACCGCCCGCACCCTCCCGCGCCTCTCACCTTCTCGTCGAACCGGGAGAACTTGTCGTCGGCGCGGAACATCTGTTGCGGCGGCACGCGCCGCTGCGCCTCGCGCTCCTCCTCCAGGCGCAGCTTCTCCAGCTGGCGGCGCTCCTGCTCCAGCCGGCGCTGCTGCTCCTGGCGCGTGCGCTCCTCCCGCTCGCGCAGTAGCGTCTCGCGCCCCACCAGCTTGAACACAGTCTCGCCTGGCGACGGCCGTGACAGCGTGAGCGGGCTCAGCGGCAGGGGAGAAGGCAGCTGGAGCCTAGTACAGCCGAGTCGACACGCTGGCTCAAATGCCCCTGAACACATCCCACCACTTCCTTCCAGACGCCGATGTTCACGTAACAGAAAATACGCGCTAAAACGCCCGTTCGCACCTCGGACAGTTCCCATGCGAATTTATCTGAACCGTCTCCCCACGCGTGTTTCATCCCGCCGATTTATGGCACAGCCATCGAGGCTGGCAGCGTCGCCCGCCCATGGAGATGTGCCATCCAGGCTGGCAGCGTCGCCCGCTCATGGAGATGACCCATCCAGGCTTGCAGCGTCGCCCGCTCAGATGTACCATAGAGGCTGGCAGCGTCACCCGCACATGGAGATGACCCATCGAGGCTTGCAGCGTCGCCCGCTCAGATGTACCATCGAGGCTGGCAGCGTCACCCGCTCAGAAAGATATACCATCGAGGCTGGCTGCGTCGCCCGCCCAAGGAGATCTACCATCGATGCTGGCAGCGTCGCCCGCCCATGGAGATGTACCATCAAGGCTGGCAGTGTCGCCCGCCAAGACACATGTACCATCAGGAACCATGTCGCTTCAACATACCTCTTGCGTTCTGAGCTGCCTTCACTAAAATCAGACATCTTAACCCGCAGTTGACCCCCGTCTTTTCCTGCAACACGACAGCGCGCCTCATAATCCGGTCACATGCCGCGCCCCGGAGCGGCGCGCGCCCCAGCGGCGGCCCCAGTCGGACAGGCCGTGTGACGAGCCGTCTCACCTCCGCCGTCCTCCAGCCGCACGCCCAGCTCGGTCAGGTCCTCGTCACGGACGCGGTCACACTCCAGCAGCACGCTGGGCACCTGGTGCTGGCGCGCCGTCTGCCGCACGCGCTCCCGGAACCGGCCCAGCACGTCCAGGTACGGCATGACCAGCGTCTCCAGCTGCCGGGTCAGGCCGGGTCAGGTCAGGTCAGGCCACGTTCGGCTGGCCGTCGGCGACGGTCGGGGTGCACCCCCCACGCACGTGGGGAACGACGCGCCACACGCAGACGACCGGGCATCCGGGCGCGGCAGCACCCACCCAACGGGTCATTGAAACAGTGACGCATGTTGCAGAAACAAGCGACAACAAAAGGAACACGGCTGATCATTTAGCATTGGCAAACGGTTCTTGTATGCCATAACCCCACTAAAAAGATGAAAGATCACCTATTTGAGCACACGGAAAGCGTTATTAACGGATACTAGGCCGGCCAAATGTGAACACCTCGGCACGACATGCCGCGAACCCCAAACCCACACATCCTCGATCTCAATGAGAAAAAACAGCCCGCTACGACCACCACCCGCCACCGTCTTCCACAACTGCTCGGGGACGCCGCGCGCCCGGTCCACCTCCACTCACGTCGGCGCTGCCGGCGTCTCCCTCGGCCGGGAAGCCGATAGCCGGCCCGCCGGCCGGCACCGCCCCGAACACGCGCAGCACGTGCGTCACGTACTGCGCGGCGTCGGCCAGCAGCTGCCGGTTAGGCACCCGGCCGTCCGCCCTAGCCTCGCCGATGTAGCTGTTGCAGGCGGACACCAGCTCGCGCAGCGCGTCCAGCGAGGCGCGCGTATCGACGTTGTCTGTGGCGGGCGAGACGGTGGTCACGCAAGCGGCGCCGGTCCCACTGCCGGCCGACGGCGCCCCGCCGCAGCCTGGCCGCTGCCACGGACTATGTACTACAGGCCAGGAGACGCGGGTGTAGTTTCCTGTTCAGTTGGGATAGTGAACTCCAGCCCACCAACTTTGAGGGGGAAAGGGGTCAAAGCTGGATATAATTTTTTCTTCTGTATTTCCGCAACTAAATGGCTGCGAAACTACACCCCTGGCAGAGACGCACAGCTGTGACAGGCGTGACAGATGATAGACAAACGGGCAGTAGCAAGACAGCGCGCGTGACAGACGTCACAAGAGAGAATGACGGCGTCACTCCAGTTCCAGGACGGCTCGGCGCACCGACACCGTCCGCGGCCCCCTTCGAGCCCCGAGTCCTGCCCAGCCGCAGCCCGGCGAGCGTGGGCGCGGCGGCGGTCCACTCACCGCAAAGGGCGGCGTGTACGCCAGCACGCGTCTCGCTGAGCGTGCCGTTCAGCGTCAGCTCCCGGCTGCCCCACTTCTGGAAGAACTCCACCCCGGCCGGCGCCGACCGCAGCACGGAGCGGACGTACAGGAAGAACTCCTGCCGGTTCAGACGGAGAGCAAACCAGTCACAGGGACACCATTAGCAGGTAGACCACTCGGCCAGGCAGAATACATGCGCTTGTGCGCATGTACACGCACAAAAGTTGGCCCCGGTAAAAACAAAATAAACAGGATTTATGCATACTCGACAAACAACACTAAACAATTATGTCTAATGATAAGCACCTGTGCAACAAAATAGATTCATTTATGCAACAGAGCTGCCTTGCTTGTAAGAGAAAAGTGGTGATAAACTTCAATTAGAGATGATCAGATGCGATAGTGACTCGCATTCCAACGAAGGCTTAGTGCAGTCAGTACGGCCTTGGTCACATTTCGCGGACCTTAACAAGCGTCAGTAGCGGCTGATGCTGAGCCGCACCCTTCCACAGGTAGCTGACCGAGCCTCTAACCTGCCAGACCCACCCGGAGATGGCCGGCCGGATACTCACATTAACCGTCCTCTCGAAGTTCTTAGCCACGTCCATTGTGTGCTCGCTGTAGTCGAGCGTGTCCTTCCAGGCGTGCATGAGAAACATCAGTCGCAGCTGACGGGCCGTGTGGCGCTGCAGCGCGTCCTTGATCGTCACGAAGTTCTTCAGCGACTTGGACATCTTGCAGCCGGCAATGGTCAGGTGGCCCGAGTGCAGGAAGTAGCGCACCCAGTTGTCGTTGTTGAAGTAGGCCTGCGGCCCCGCAGCGCCGTGGTTAGCCAGGATACGAGGCCAGTGCTCGTGCTCGTGTCGGGCAGGGGTCCAGATATCACCGCCATGACTACCTACTGATCTGCAACTTCTAAAGGCAGCTGGAACATGGCGTCCCCAGTAAACCCAGCCAACATTACAAGTACAGAACGCATGTAACAGAAGTTGGACAAAACACAGAAATGACACAGCATGATTTCAATGGGGAAACGCCGAGGAATATAGCTAGGGATGGCGAAATACGACCATGCCACCCTGAGCCATTGCGACATTTCCCTCAGATATTCAGAGCGTTCCGCCACTGGCCCTGCCAGTCTTCTCAGGCCCCGCGCTCTCTAAGCACAAGGCCTTTCCAGGCGCTATCTAAGCCCAAGGCACCAGCCTTTTCCGGCGCTGTCTAAGCCCAGGGCCGGCCTCGGCGTGGTGCCGGCCCACCTCGGCCTGCGCCAGCTCGTTGTCGTGGTGCGGGAACTTGAGGTCACAGCCGCCGGTGTGGATGTCCATGCTGGGGCCGCAGATGGCCGACGCCATCACCGAGCACTCGATGTGCCAGCCGGGCCGGCCGGCACCCCACGGCGACGGCCAGCTCGGCTCGCCCGCCTTCGAGCACTTCCACAGCGCGAAGTCGTTCGGCGACCGCTTCTCCTTCAGCCGGTCCTCGGAGACGCTGAGGTCGCCTGCAGCAGGCGGGGCAGGGGGTCAGTGAGATGTCAGTGAGGGGCCAGTGAAGGGTTAGGCGGATCGGTGAGAAGTCAGACAAGTTAGGCGAATCAGTGATGAGGGTCAGGCGGGTGGGTGAGAGGTCGGGCGCGTCCGTGAGGGGTCAGGCGGGTCAGCGAGAAGGTCGGGCAGGTCAGACGAGTCAATTCTCAGTGTGAACGGAGACACCTTGGGTCGTGTTATCACCGTCGGATACGGCTGTCTATCGACCGTATGACACGGCTGCAAACCCTTGACACTTACTTAGCTGCGAAACTCATGCATACAGACGAGCTATTAACGAAACCACCGTTCAGCTTACATCTTCGCCCACAAGCAGTTGATACGGGGTCTTCCAGTCATTCCCCGAACAAATGCCTTTGAGTGCGGGTTACATCTCAGCACTTTGCCTCATGACAAGGGAAGCCACCGGCGGCACCGGTGGCCACTTTCATCACCTAACACAAGCCAACTCAAACGTCCGCACCCAGCAGCACCCCAAGCCAGGCCAACGGTGAGCATGCGGCAGGGGGGAGGGGGGAGGGGGAAGTATCTGAGGAGCGGTAGCACCGGGGCATCTGAGGGGGATTATGTGAGGGGCACGCACCTTCGCCCTCCTGCAGCGCCGCGCTGTCGCCGTACGCCTCCGGCACCAGCTTGGCGTAGTGGTGGCGGTCGTCGGCGTCGAACCGGCCCACGTCAAAGTACACGGAGCCGTGGGATTCGTAGGCCAGCCCGTTCTCGATAATCTTGGCGATGTAGTCGACGATCTCGGGCACGTACTCGCTGACCCGGGTCACCACGTTAGCCGGCAGCACCTGTCGCGAGCGGGGACGCCGCGTCACGGCGAAGCGGGCCGAGCGGGCTGACGAGCCTTACAGCATGGACTGCTGTCCGACATCACCCCGACAGCGCCGGCGACTCATTCACAGGGAGAGCAATACGGCAGGCGAAGTTCGTCTCAGATTGACCGAATCACGGCATTTTCGTTCACCGAACCACCCCCCAAGCACAGCGAGACGTCGGGAGTGAACACCGCGCAAGAAGACGACAAGCTTAGCAGGGGTACGTGAACCTGGCCCAGAGCAGGCGGACGGTATTCCTGCCCACAACCAATGGCCACCGACACCGCAGACGGAGACAGTCGAAGACGTTAAGCAGGAGTCCAACTGCGCGGCTGGGACCAATCTCCGCGACTCTCCGCCCAGAGCTGGACGCAGATCACACGGCTATCACCGCGCCTGCCAGCGTCACAGGGCTTGTCTCGACACGGCCCCGGGGAGCCGGCAGCGGCAGAGCGTCTCACGCCCAGCACCGCCACCGCGCCAGCCAGCGTCACAGGGCTTGTCTCGACACGGCCCCGGGGGAGCCGGCGCCGGCGGAGCGTCTCACATTCAGCGCCGTCTCCGCGCCAGCCAGCATCACAGGGCTTGTCTCGACACGGTCCCGGGGGAGCCGGCGCCGGCGGAGTGTCTCACGTTCAGCACCGCCACCGCGCCAGCTGGCGTCATAGGGCTCGTCTAGACACGGCCCCGGGGGAGCGGCGCCGGCGGACCATCTTACATTCAGCGCCGCCATGTCGCTGTGGAACTCGGCCTCCCAGTGGCGCGGCAGATCGGCAAAGATGACGTTGTCCGTCACCGTGTGACCCAGCCGATCGTCAAGCCACTCGGCCAGCGGGTCGGACGCCTCCTTCAGCAGCAGCTGCAACGGCAAGCCGTCAGTGGGTGCGACAGCACAGCTGGCAGCCGCGGTGACGTCATCGACTCAGCCGGCCGACTCAGCTGTCAGCGGCCATGGGAGCGTGGTCAACGCTCAGCAGATAGTAAACGTCAGCGGGTGCAACAGCCTCGTCAGCGGCCGCAACGGCAATATCAACAGCAAGTAGCTGCACCAGCACAGCGACGTGCGAAGTCAGAACACATAGACAGGTCGACATAAGCTGGAAGCACCCCAGTAATGGACATTAACCGCAGATTCTCCAGTAAGGGCAGCTCTGGACGGCACAGCTCGGCCGCTGTTCCCCCTCCCCCGGTCCCCGGCGACCGCGCACCTGCTTGGCCTGGCTTAGGTTGGCGTCGCCGCCCTCCTTGACCATGGCCTCGACCTTGTCGATCGCCGCCGAGAGCCGATCTACAAGGCGGCGCTGCATGTCGCGCTTGTCCGCGTCCTTCTCGGCGGCCGCCTTCTTCGAGTACTTCTGTCGAAGACAGAGCAAAGCAGCTGTCACGGATATGGGAGCACACAGGACAGTCAGCTGACCGAGGTCCTGAGCAGGAAGTTCATGTCTGCAATTCATCTGCCTGAGGTGCTGAACAAACAACATAAGAACGTTGTCCCGTTCTGTGTGGCGCACTGCCGGACGCGTCAGGACTCATACTCATCCCATCTCCCCCCAGAGCGGCGCCGGTCGGCCGGCCGGCCAGTCTCCTCTGGAGCGCCAGGGCTCCTTCTGGTCCCCCATTGCCCTTCGCGTGGCGGCAGCCCGTCTCACCTGGAGCGCCAGGGCTCGTTCTGGTCCCCCACTGCCCTTCGCGTGGCGGCAGCCCGTCTCACCTGGAGCGCCAGCGCGCAGTCGTCCACCATGCGTCGGAGGTCGGTGGTGTCAGCCGCGTACTGCCGCAGCAGGTGCTGATGCCGGGCGCGTCGGATGATCTTGTCATCCACGTCCGTCACGTTCATCACGTACGTCACGTCGTAGCCGAAGTAGTCGGTCATCACGCGGCGCAGGATGTCGAACGAGATGTACGACCTGATGACGAACGAGATGTACAGCGGTCGGGCAGGACGGCACTCGGAGAGACCAGCCACGGCATAACGACACCTCTTCTCTTCGCTGGATTCGAGCGTGGGACAACGACTCCGCCCATTGGCATGACACCCAGCACTGGATGAGGAGAATCTGCGAAGTGCAAACTTGCGCATCTTAAAGGCCAATAGGCAACTTTGACACGGTATTCTGCTACCTCAGTGCTGTGCGGGTTTCTTGGGACGCCGAACGACGATTGAGGCCACCATAGCATTAGGGCTGCTCTTGCAGTCGTGGAACGTACAGTATCGTACGAAGCCAGCATTTCGGTATCCGTCTCGGCAACGTGGATGAAGGTTCGTACCTTGTAAGCTCACCCGCTTTATTCATCCTAGACGGTTCAAAGCGGTCCGAGAAAGAACAGTATGCTAGGATTCCTGACTCGCTAAGCAGAGAGCAGTCCAGGGCAGCGCTACGTGCAGTGAGGTAGCGCGGCGAAAGCGCCATGCCCATGTCGCTCAGGTACGTTTCATGCATTCGGTGGACGCACGCAGAGAGCCTGACCTGGCGTGTCCCATGTGGGAGGCGTCGTAGACGGTGGGCCCGCAGCTGTACCAGAGCACGCGGCGGCCGGCCTGCGGCACGAACGGCTCTTTGCGCCGGCTCAGGCTGTTGTAGAGGTGCAGTTGCGGCGCCTCCGAGCCCTGCGGCCGCGTCCAGACGGGCTGCTCTCGGCGGTCCATCTGGCGGCCGACCCGCTCCGGTCACGGTCACAGTCACAGTCACAGTCACAGTGGGGATGGCCAGCTCCAGTCACAGTCATGCCAGAGACATCACGGAGACAACTGGCTTCAGTCAAGGTGATGGACAGCTGGCTCGAGTCAGGTTCCAACAGAGGTGGGTTACAGTCTGAACAGCAATTCACAGGCTGACATACAGCAAGCTCGGGTGGCACCCCAGCAGAGGGCAGACTCGGGTCACACTCGACAGATGGCAGGTCACCGTCCAACAGACAGCAGTCACAGTACAACAGACGGCAGGTCACAGTATGTCACGTTGCTCTGCAGGTCACTATGTTGTGCGCAGGTCATAGTCGCACAGGTAGCAAGCTTGGGTCAGCCATCATATGGTGCATTGTCACATGATGTGCACTGGATGCTGGCTGTGGTGTGACTGTCTCAGAACCAGGAAGTGGCTCAAAACATAAAAGGGCTTGACATGACATAACCTGACACAGTTGACATAAATAGCCAACAGCCTGCATAGGGTTATCAAATTAATCATGTGTATGTGGGGGGAGGGGTCAGAGCACAGAAAAATAAAAGACATACCCCAAAATATACAACAAAACAGATTTCCGCAGCCCTAGCCCACTTTTTCTCAAAGTGGGATAGAGGTGAGGCATGAGCCCTCCAACTGAATATAAACTTATGTGCTTGAAGGGATACATAAGCCATGCATGAACATCAAAAATATATCTGACAGACCAAGGTGCATCAATATTGCACGATAAATTCAATTTATGATACATTTAAAGCATATAGGTTATACAAGTGTCATAAAGCACATCAGCACAAACATTACACAGCCCCACCTTTTCCAGGATGTTTCTTTGCCTCCTTCTCTTCTTCGATGCAAATCTTACTTGACTCCGGAGGAATGACGACTGATAGGTCAGTGATAACCAATATGTACTAGCTAAATAATTACTTCTGGAAAATATAGTCATCCAAATACCCCAATATGAGTGCAAAAACCTGAAACAAATATACATGGCTGCCACTTTTGACACATATTCTCATAAATGGGCAAAATAAGAAGCAATAAGTACCCTAACTGTTAACGGGCAAAACCGTGCCACAGCAATTTTATGACAAAAACATATCATCATATAGTTGAGACTGGCTTTGACACCTCTGAATGAATGATGACTGACACACAACTGCATCACATTGTGTGTGCCATGTACAGCCATAACTGTGGCTGCATTGTCATATCAAGGCGACTTTGAGCATTATGGACCAGTTTGACTCTTAACACAGTTAAATAATGTCAAGGGACAGAACAAAAATCAAGCAACCAAGTTATTACCTATGCATTGGGCAGCCAGGGCCCAATTAAATTGAGGAAACCTATGATACCAATATAAGGCTAACTGAGCATGCAAATACCTATATCTTAAGGCACTGCAAAGGTTCACATCCACCTACCAGCAAATCATTAAATGATCCATTTAGCACCACCGGCACCAGCCGGCAGCCGGTGCTGATGATAAACCTAGCTCATATTACGAGTTCGCGATTTAACGATAACCTTCATGTAAATGACCCCTTTTTACATGGTATAGTGACCGAATCGCATTTCTGTGTGCACAGGCGTTTGCCTACATGCATACCAACGTACCTAGTTGAAGAGACAAGTCCCTTAACAGCCCTCAAACACACATCAACGCCCGTAAGTCCCACGCATCACCCCACATCAGCCATAAGCCGTGAATGCGCGCCACTACCGTCGTTCATGAGGCGCTTTGGATAAATATGGTAGCAGTAGTTTGGGCAACGTAATAATAGTATAGGCAACGTAATCGGAGGGAGAAAGGGAAAAGAGAAAAATACAAAAGTGTTGGAAGCCTCGTGATGCGTTCAACATCTCAGGTTATCTAGCGTTGCGATCTCTCTCGCAGATCGACGCCGGGAGCACCGCAGCTGTTAACCGGTAGCCAGATTGGGTAAAAGCGCACGGTTATACAATCACCGTTAATCGTTAGATTGAAGGAACACCATGTTTGTTGCACCAAACGACACAACCTTTGGACCAAGGGTGCCGTTACAGCGACACCATTGTAACGTTTTCGCGACTGTAGCATGCCGTCAGTCCCAGGGCTCAGAAGGGGGGGGTGGGTGGGGCTTTCCAAACAATCAATAGCATAATGTGTGGACAATGCAGGCATATAAGAGCTTTTCAACGGCAAATTATCAATGCGTGTCCACCGTGACCTCTCCGATTCCGACGAAGTTGGCCATTACCACATGTTTCATCCAATGATTATTTCATTTTCTATATCGCGTATTTAACATATATAAGTAGCCGAATTGTGAGGTTATCTGGAAAATGTGACTTGAAGTTAGCTTTTACTTGTGCAACGAATAATTAAAACCACATCTGATCTATCACGTCGAATTAGATGTGATGGAACCAGCATATAATTTGAGAGCGGATGATGTTCAATTGGCCATGACCAGATGCGGGCCGTACTGGCACTGTCGTGACTCTTACTGACAAGAACATTTCAGTAGTGTAGATTTGTAATAGATGGGGTTTCTCCCGGATTTGACCCTTTTTCTCTCAAAGTTGGTGTCTGCAGTCGATTTACGGGAGGTGGAGCTGGAGGTGGAGGTGCTGGAGGTGGAGCATACTTCTTCGCGGCTAGGTGGCGCTCCATGTCGCGTTTTACGTTAAAGAGAACAGTTGTAATGCATCTCTTGATATAACACATGCGTGATTCTTGTCTTGTAACAACAGATGTAGTCATATTTGGTAATAAACCTTGCCCCGCTGTACTTTGTTTACTCCATTTTCAAGGCCGATGTAGCTTATGGACATCTGTAACGTTGCGAGCCACTTCGTCTGGAAACACTAATAGATAATATGACGAGAAGGGCTGCATTTATTGCAACTTCGACTCTGGTAACGCAGTAGGAACATATCCAGCCTCGTAACAAAACTTTTGAGACAATTTTTACGGACACAAGACGCAAAAACCATCTCGTTTTTGTGAAACTTTATAAATTTGTGCCGAGCAAAGCTGGATGGGCTCAGGGTTGTCACCTTATATAACGAGGAGTCATTTCTAAGTTGTCTCATGACCAAGCATACCACTGGCCTTAGATAATCTCAAGGTCCTTATTGAAATGGCTGAGGATTGCTCTCGGGAAGCTTCTTTTTTTTGGGGGGGGGTCCAGGACCCAGGAGCCCGGGGCTGGGGCCTAATTCACCCAAAAAGGCTCTAGCTCCTCCCAACTCTAGAAAAAGTTGGTTTAAGAACGCTTTATTCCAGAAAAGCGGCCCTTTCATTACGATCTTTGAAAACGAAAGGAGCTCATTGTGATAAACTTATGTGAAGACTAGGTGCCATATATAATAAGCCTGTTGCACATTTTGACGGATCAAAGTTCCGGGAAATGTTGACTGCGCCGGTGAGCCATTGGGCACCGGTGATTTGTTGCACGTAGTCGTTCAACGTTTGCTTTCTGCAGTTTACTAACTTCAAAATACAACCAGAAATGATTTTGAGGTAGATTTGAATCCTACTTCTATTATGATTAAAAAATGAAAATAAACATAAACACAAAAAACGATGCCCCTCGTTTACAGCTGAGCTATATCCAAACTTTGTTTTTGGGAGGAGCCTTTCACCATCAGGGCTTTTCTCAAGCCTGCGCTCCCAGCTTGGTAAAGTTTGTTAACAGGTGAGCTATATCCGGCGATATATTTTTTTGTGGGGGTGGTCACCATCAAGAGGCTTTCGTAAACCATATGACCACCCATGGGAGGCTTTGGCTACGCCCCTGCCCACATACAAATGCAGACAAAATCGTCTACGTTGAGTGAGGGGCAAATGAATGTCCGGTGGACCAATTCGTCCCTAAGGCAGGTGACGTTCCGAAAGTATGTTTTCTGCTATGGTGGGTTGTGTGAGATGACAAATCTCACACAACCCACCTGCTCGTATCCTGCTCCCGTCCGCCAACGGCAGACGGGAGCAGGGCTCAGGTAAGGGACATCCAGAAGAAGGGCCTTCATGCTGACGTGAGTTTTTATGCATAACCCCGGTTTTATGTTTTTTCGCCACGTTGTTTTGGGCTGTTAGTATTTGAGGCTTCCAAATTTGTTCCCGTTTAAAATACCGGAACAAATCCTATCTCTTAGAAACCAGCTGGCGAAATCTAGGCGCATGAAAACTCGGGTGCACTATCAGCCACTGATTCGTATCCAAAGTGCTGACCAGTCTGTGGCCAGGTCATTTCTTAGCATCTAGCCTAGTGAAGCAGATACCTCCCCAATGACCCAAAGTGCCTACTCGCCAGTGGAATTTCGCCTCTTCAGGGAAAATAATGTTGAAATGAATGAATGATCTTAGGAAGCCGGATAGTCTTATTTACCAAAGGGCACGGGTGCCATTCCAAATGACTACCATTTTGGCATTTTGGAGTTTGCCCCCAACTTGAACATGGTGTCTGCGCCCCCGCTGGAGCACGTCAGCTTTAGTTGTTTTGAGTATCATTCCTTGCCAATATTTTTGCACGCCTTAAGTACATGGCAATTCGAGTAAAACGCGTTGATCAGCAGCACCGTTTTGAACAGCGAGCTTCCATCCCAACTATTCAAACTGGAAATGGGTTTTCTTGCCTATTCTTAATCTTTCCAAAGGGGTCCGAAACAAATCAGAGTCCTGTGCGACTATTCCTTCATACCATACGTGTCATACCATACTCCACACCCAGATTCTCCTGTCCGATCCAATGCGCTCTGCCTGTCGTGGTCGTGAGTTCCAGTCAGCAGCAAATTGCACAAAAAAGTACCACGCAACTCTATGCAGCTTTGCAGAGAACTTCCTTTACGTTTTAGCGGGGAACCATTTGCATGCAGGTGCTGACTTCTCTACATATCAGCAGGATCGTGTATAAGACTGACCCGTTTTAAAGCAACTGAGGCAGTCCTTGGTAACCAGATGACCTTTGAGCGCCAAAGCCGGGCCCAATGTTTTATGTACCAAAAAGGCCCACGAATCTCCCGAGGGTCGTGAGGATATGCAGGAAAAGAGCTCTGAGAGCTTAAAAGTACCTTGAGCAGCCCGTTGGGTCGGCCCTTGAGCAAACAGAAGGCCATCTCAGTGGCAAGATAACTCCACGGTGGCTAGAGTGGCCTCTCAACTTCCAAAAAGGTCTGTAAGTAGCCAGAGGAGCCCCGCACAGGATGGGGCCGTGAAAGTTTGTGCGACTTAATGGTGTTCCAAGTGCCTCCAAGCGGCGGACAAGCTGCCCACAAGCCAGAAGGATTCTTAGGCAGCAATAGGAGTTTTTGAGCGGCTAAAAAAGCCCTGAGCAGCCAAAAAAGTGTCCGGGAGATAGTGAGGAAACAGCCGGAGACTCTGAGCTGCCAAACAGGCCCTCAAACGCCAAAGGAGTCCTTATATGGACAGATGAGCCCCTGAACAACTAAAAGACCGCTGAGTAGCAAGGACGGCATTGAGAAAACGACGTCTCAAACATTTTCTGAGAGGCCGAGCGTCCAGAAATCACCTGCGTAAGCAGGAGAGCCCACTAACAAACGAAAGGGCTCTTGGGCATAGGAGTGACCTCTGAGCAGCCAAAGAGGCCCTGGACAGCTAACAAGACTTCAAGACTAACAAGAAGTGTCCAAAGGGTCATAGGTGTACATCTAAATGGCTCTGGCTAAGGTGGCCAATGGGCCCTGATTAGGCAGACGAACTTTCAGGTGACCAGAAAGGCTCCTGGTCCATAAAAGTGATCATTTGTGACGGGAGGGCCCAGCAAAGTCCCTAAAAAGCCAATGCACCATCGGTGGGCAGGGGCGACCTGAGCAGCTAAAACAGCCCATGAACATCCAGAGCGGCCTGCACACACGGACATCACTGAGTGATCATTTCATCCCTGGAATATTTTTTCTTTGTGCTGCACGAGCCGAAGAGCCTTTCCAAGGGGCTCTTGGACCCCTGAACGCACCTACTTTGGGTCCCCAGACCCCCATTTTTAATTTTGCGGGGCCCGGGGAGACGGGGGAGGGGGGGGGGGCTGGACCGTCGCCACTTCCCACAGGATTTCCCGCCGTGATCATTTGATTCATGAATGGCAGTCATTTTGTTTTGCAATGGAATGGCTGCTCAGGATGACTTGACTTTGGTTAAAAAATTTGACCAATCCCGTGGCTATACTTTGAGCGGATTTTCCTGCGTCAGGGATATCGCACAGACAATATAGATGTCTGATTTTGTGAATTCGAGCATTGAAGACATTTCAGGAGGTCGAGTGCCGGATGATCAAATCTTGATCAAGCCTCAAAAACCCAAAATCGATCCAATCACATAAATCTCGATAGTAAAAAAACCGTGATAGACAGATATACTTAGGTGCATTAAAAATATACGACGCTGTTAAATACCATGAAAAAAGTGACGTCCCCCCAACTCGTGTCCAAGATGACGTTGCCTCCTTTTCACCGCCTGCTTAGACGAAGCAGGGAGCGGATCTCTGTGGCCCCTTTAAAACTTTGTTCAC